AGTACAGGAAGGACACAAAAGCAGTTTGCAGAGAATGGTTTGGGCAGGGGAAAGTAGCTGAAGCAGTAGAGCAACTGCCCAGCATGTGTAAGGCCCTGGGTTTACCCCAGGACCACACAAAAGAGAAACTGTAGTTTGAAAACTCGCTCAGTCCTGATTCCTGATTGATTGTCCTAATTGGCAAGGAAATGTGTTAATTAAGTCTCTCTCTTTCTCCCTATCTATATCTGTCATCTATATCTAGTTTTCAAAACAGATTTTTAATTCATTTTTAAAAGAAATGGGTGTCCTATTTTACTTTGAAAGGAGACTAGAATCTTTGGGTGCCAGTCTCAAAGGGAGGTAAAGGACTTTAGTTCACCAAAATAGAACATAGATATTTCATTCTCAGTGCTGTCCTGGGCTAGGAATAGAGCAAAGCCAGGCAAGTAGCTAAAGTTGTTATATGCTATTTCCAACAGCAGGGGGCACTTACTCAAGGATTTATGACAAAGAGCCATGAAAGGCCTTGATAGGATCCTCAGTCCAGGCTGAACATGGCAGGCCAGACTCATCACTACCCCTAATGCCAACAAAGCCACTGGCCCTTAAAGCTTCCTTCAAGAGGCCTTCTCGCTACCAATGCTTTTCCAGTGCTAACATCTCTTCCAATGCTACAACCCTCACAACTGTCCCTGTGTAGTTCCTATAAATCCCTTCATGTTTGTAAAAGTCCTTCAGCATAACATTTAATATCCAATGAAACAGTAATTAAACCGTACTTTTTTACTCTGACATCAACATAATGCTTTTAGTCTGTATTAAAACATGCAAAAAAAAAGCCAGGCACTGGTGGCTCATGCCTGTAATTCTAGCTACTCAGAAGACTGAGATCTGAAGACTGTGGTTTGAAACCAGCCCAGCAGGAAAATCTGTAAGATTCGTATCTCCAATTAACCAAAAAAAAAAAAAAAAAAGCCAGAAAGAGGTGTAGAGCATCCATCTCCAGAGAAAAAGCCAAATTAAGACCACAGGGTTCTGAGTTCAAGACCCAGTACACACATGTACATACACGTGCCATGAAGAGAAACTTCTCTACGTTTACAGTTACCTCTTTCTAGAACCTTTAATTCTGGTAACAATTATCTATCCTCCTAAATATAGAGCTAAGGAGGGAGGGAGGACAAGGCTCACAGAGAGGAAAGCAGAGCAGAGACCTGGGGTATGTCTTCTACCTTTCAGAGTCTGCCACACTAGACTGACATAAGTATTGGTTTCTCGATCGCTATGGGCATAAGGGACAATAGACTAAATCTGTGATCTGCCCAAGGTGGGATCTTAAAGTGCCAGGCCCTCTGTGTCAGAGTCAGATAGACATGAGCCATCCTTTGCTGTGAGATGTAAGCAAAACAAATGGCCTGTCTAAACTTACGTGCTAAGTGACAACCAAAAATAATTTTCCCCTAAGGATTTTAAATCCACTTGGTAATTAAAAGGAGAGAACTGCTTATAAACACAACATGTATTCATCTCAAAAACATGCAGAGAGGAAGTGGTGCCCTGGCTCAAAGTGGTAGAGCACTTGCCTTGAACAAAAGTGCTCAGGGACATCTCCCAGGCCAGAGTTCAAGCCCCACAACTGATCATTATTACAACAACAACAACAAACACAGAAACTTTCTTCTTTGGACTAGGAATGTGGCTTCATGGTAGAGTACTTGCCTAGCATGCCTGAGGCCCTGGGCTCAATTCCTTGCTGCCATATACACAAAAAATTAAATAAAAAATCCAGTCTGTACATACATGCACAGAATTCAAAACCAGAAGATAATCCTCATTTGTGGTTACAAGCTTAAATATCACCATTTCCATGGCCCAATAAACCCCAAGCCAATAAAATGATCCTAGGCTGAGACTTACCTGGAGCCTGAGCAGGCTGACGGCTAGATATAGTACCTGTTTTAGCCTAGTTAGACCCTATAGTCACAACAAGTAGACAACTTTGCTATCAAAGACAAAAGCAGACTGAGACAATATATAATCAAATGGGTGAGACTGTCTTCAAATAGAATTTTATTTACAAAACCAAGAAAAAGAGAGGATTTGGCCTGCAGGCTGCAGTTTGCTGACACTCTAAAAGAAAGATAAAATCGCAGGACAGGTGAACCAGATCTCTCACATGGCAAATTCTTTAAATACACAAAGACATGAGCTAGGAGCAGAAGAAAAAATATACTCAGACAATGAACAGATACGTTTTGGAGTAGTTGGGAACAATTTTAAAAAATTATGAAAGTACTTCAAAACTTCAATGAGGATGTACCTTTGAAAAGAATACTGTGGAAGCTGGGCACCAGTAGCTCACACCTATAATCTCAACTACTCAGGAAGCTGAGATCTGAGGATCGTAGTTAAAAGCTGGCTGGGGCAGGAGAGTCTGTGAGACCACCAGAAAACCGGAAGTGGCACTGTGGCTCAAGTGGTAGAGTGCTCGCCTTGAGCTGAAGAGCTGAGACAGCTCCCAGGCCGAGAGTTCAAGCCCCATGACCAAAAAAAAAAAAAAGAATACTGTGGAAAGAAGAAATGCAAAACTGAAATCAGAAAGTCCGTAAAAGGATGTAACAGTATCTCTAATAAAAATTAGAGAAATAATTAGCAACTGCCCAGAAAGAAGTAATAGATTAGCAAAGAAGTAGGAAATTGAAAATGATTAGACAGTATTAGAAAGTCTAATTGGTGTCATCAAACCTCTTTAGAGAGGTAAGAGAGAAAATGGAGCAAAGACAAGTTGACATCTGAGAACTTTACAGACTCCATGAGAAAATACCAGTCCACACATGAAAAGCCAAGTCCCAAGCAGATAAATAACAAACATATCATAGGGAAATGGCAAAATAACAAAAATAAATGATCTTATACACTCTCAAAGATATGTTGATTTCAAAAAAAAGCCAAGCATAGATCTACAGGTAAACTCTCAGCAGTAACTATGTGATCTTAATGTGCAGAGAAAATCACTTCCATCTGAACATCAACTTTAGTATCCAGCAAAAACTTTCAAGAATTAGTACAATATAAATATACTTTCTAAGAGAGAGCATGAGAGAGAAAATTTAACATCAGAAGGCTCACTAAAGAGTGGTCCCAAATGGGAGGATTAATTTTCATCAGTCTTAGATGAATTGGAGACCATGAATCTCCAATTTGAAGGAGAAAATACATGAAGTAGTCATTCCAAGGGAAGGAAGGGAAGATATGTTCTTGTGAATGAACAATAGGAGGCATGCATAAGCATGCTTAAAACAAAGCTAAAAATCCTTCTGTCCATCAAAGGTAATTGAAATAAATTATCTAGGATATCACGTTTCACTTATTATAAGCATGCAATTACAGTGAAATTAGCTTTCAGAAAACATGCTTTCAATAACAAGTCAATTCCTTCAACAACTTGAAAACTAGTATAAACCAAAGACATAGGAAAGTTCTGACTGAGACAGCCTTAGATTGGCTAATAAATGATAACATTATTTTCCTATGGTTCTTAGAAAGGCATTATTTAATCTATGTCCACACAAAGCAGCTAGTAGATGTGTTATTAGCTTTTCTGGGAACTGAGCTAATAAAATGGACTTATTTCATTCAAGTAATATCAAATACAGAAAGTAAAAAGAGAGCGTTATGAGGACAAAAAACAAACTAGACAAAGGGCAAGCTCAATATATTTAGATTTCCTGAGTCTCCATCAAGATCCCCCTTACAGAGTTTTGGAGGGGGGCAAAACTTAAAAACAAAAGGAGAAGGCAGATGGACTGAGGAGGTGAGACTGTAAGGAAGGCCTTGTGCAAGTGTCAGTCCTTCTAGCTGGATGGGAAGAATATACACAGATAATGCTGGACCAGAGCTACCCAGCTATTAACTAGGTATCATTGCCTGAGTTCATCTGCAAAATATCTGCTGGAAATTTGTTTAAGGCAGAGTGCACAGAGCCAGAGTCCAGATAAGTAGGCTACAGCAGAAGACTGGGGGGGGGGGGGGAGGTCAGTAGTTGATGTTCAAGTGGCCCAGCAATTCTGGTCTAATAAAGTATAAATATGTCACACAAATGAAAATAAACAATTCTGCTTGTAGTAGGAAAAAATTTTACTTAGAGCTGGAAGAAGGGAGAGGGGAAGGGTAAATTAACACAAGACACATTTAAAAATATAAAATTTATTTATATTTATGGTAGGCTAGTTCACATTCTGTACATGGGTTACCACAAAGAGATAGATATAATACTCTTAAGAGTTTACAACGGTATCGTATTGCTATCACATGTGTTTATGCTAGCTGAATAGGGGAATGCTTAGTTTTCCCCTTTCAAAAATTTAAGGCTCAGTTTCCAAAAGGTAATTATACCACTTATTTTTCTGCTTAAGTAACTGGGAAAGTTCAGGAATAAATCAAGCAGGTGAGGGGTAAGGGATGGGACATCCACACACTTTCACTCATTTATACCAAAGATACTCAATATGATTGTGTGTGTGTGTGTGTGTGTGTGTGTGTGTGTGTGTGTGTGTGTGTGTCCATACCAAACCTTGAACTCAGGTGCTGGGTCCTGTCCCTTAGTTTTTTCCACACACGGCTGACACTCTACCACTTGAACCACAGCTCTACTTGCCACTTTTTGGTGGTTAATTCAAGATAAGAACCTCACAGACTTTCCTGCCTGAACTGGCAGAATCCTGGTCTCAGCGCTGACTGAGATCCTCAGATCTCAGCCTTCTGAGAAGCTAAGATTTGAGGCATAAGCCATTGCCAACTGGCTTGCAATGTTTTATTTTTTATTATTTTTATTTTTTGGGTCCGGTCGTGGGGCCTGAACTCTGGGCCTGGCCGCTGTCCCTCAGCTCTTCAGCTCAAGGCTAGCGCTCTACCTCTTGAGCCACAGCACCACTTCCGGCTTTTTTCTTTTTGCTTATGTGGTGCTGAGGAATCTAACCCAGGGCCTCAGGCATGCAAGGCAAGCGCTCTACCACTGAGCCACCTTCCCAGCCCTTCAATGTTTTATTTTTTAAATAGGCTCTTTCTATTTTAAAATGTTTGGCTACCAAGACAAGAAAATCAGTAGACTGGAAGGGATCACTAACATATATACTCAAGAAAAACTAAGCTCATTATCACTGATATTGCTGAAATGTGTTGTGAGTTGCAATATACATAATATACACACACACACACACACACACATTTACTTCCATGTAATTTTTTAGGGAGAGGCTTATCATTGATTTCTCTTCTAATCCACTAGTAAAAAATATTTTATATTTCCTTTCCACTTTCTGATCTGGTGGTTCTCAAGGTGTCTTTATCCTTCATGACAACCTTGTAATTTTCTTTTCAACCTTCCAGTAGAATGTCACCATAATGTTAAACCCCACATAGACATAGAGTGCCACCATTAGGTGCTGGGAGGGAGAGCGAAAGCAAATTATGAAGACAGAATTTGGGCAATAGAGCCCAAATGATCCAATGACCCTGTCCATATGTTCCAGTCACACCGGAGAAGCATTTTCCCCCACGCAAATATTTCATTTAACCACCAATGACACTGTCATAAAAGGCAGACTCAGCTCGAACTCAGAAAACTATCTTGTAATTCAGGGGGCTGATGCTCTAACAAAAGCCAAAAAGGGCACCTGGAAGTTCTGCCTCTGGCACAAAGAGGTAGAGACAATCATCATGTAGAAAAGATTAACAATAAACAATTAAATAAAGCAAAATCCTGGGGTGGGGGATACCCTTCCGTTTCTGTGGGCTAGTTCTGGGAAGCTGAGTTTATCTACAGGGAGTGTCAGTCCGATTCTGAGTTGAGACATCCATTGCCCACGATCATCTTGCTGTAATTCTTCTGCTGCTCTTCTTTAAAGGTATCTTTCACCTTTGCCCTTTTCAGCCCTCCATCCCTGGGAACAGAAAGATAGTGAGCATGGTAATGAATGATCATAGATTAATGAGTCAGGCAATCAAAGCCTAGAAGATTCCACAGGACATCTGCCTGAGGCCAAAGCAATGTTCAGGCTTAGAGAGTCAAACCTATCCATGAGTCCTCATCTTGAAAATGGACCACAGCCTACGATTACCCACGGGACAATACCGGAGTTTCCATGATATATAATTACACAACATGGGCCAAGAACAGTAGCATACGTCTTAATTTCAGTGAACTGGCATTGTAGGAATTGAGGATTATGGTACAAGTTCAGCACAGGCAAAGTTAGTGAGACTCCATATAAACTAGTAAAAATCTGGGTGTGGTGTCATATGCCTATCATCCCAGCTATTTGGGAAGCATAAACATGGAAGGGTTGTGATATACGCCAGCCATGTCAAAGACCCTGTTCAAAAAAACAGAAAGGGTCTAGGAGATGACTCAAATGGTAGAATACCTACCTAGCAAACACAGGCATGAAACTCCATATCAATGAGTTAGTTAATAAACTAAAAGATTATGCCTTGTGTGTAAATCTTCAGAGTTGTATATATCAGCTTCTTTTATATAAATGAGCTGAATCTAATTACTCACAGTATTTGCATGAATTCTGAAGAGTGAAACTTAAGGAAGGAGAGATAAAGAAACCCCTTTCTCTTTTTATAAAGGGCAGGCCAAAAACAGGCAAAAAAAACCCCTAAAATTAGCAATATTTGTCTTTGAGCATCCTGACATTTTTTTGGGGGGTCCGGTCGTGGGGCCTGAACTCTGGGCCTGGGTGCTGTCCCTCAGCTCTTCAGCTCAAGGCTAGCGCTCTACCACTTGAGCCACAATGCCACTTCCGGCTTTTTTCTTTTTGCTTATGTGGTGCTGAGGAATCGAACCCAGGGCCTTGAGCATGCAAAGCAAGAGCTCTACCACTGAGCCACCTTCCCAGCCCACTGACATTTTTTTATATAGATCTTCCAGAGTGTCTAGTAAACCTTACATAGCTCTAAAGGCTCTAACTCTGCTGGGTGCTAATGGCTCACACTTGTAATCCTACCTATTCAGGAGGCTGAGCTCTGAGGATCACAGTTCTAATGTAGCCCAAGCAGGAAAGTCAAAGTCAAAGTCCAATTAATCACCAAGAAGCCAAAAGTAGAGCCAAAAGTAGATTAAGTGGGAACTCACTCACTAGCCTTGATCAAAGAGGCTCAAGGACAGCACCTAGGACCTAAATTCAAGCCCAAAGACTGGTACCAAAAAAACAAAACAAAACAAAACAAAAAAACCCAAAGCTGTGACTTGTCATCTCTAGAGAATTAGAATTTTTTACCCAATTCCTCTTAGCAATGACAGCAAATTTTAGTTCCTTCAAAAGCCCTCGTGAAAGTTGAATATATGTTCATTCATACTCAACAAGTTGGTGACACATATATCAGGAAAGCAAGGAGGAGATTTTCTTTCTTTTTAATATTTTTGGGGGTTGTGATAATAGGATTTGAATTTTAGGGACTGACACTTCACTTGCTAGGCTAGTTGCTCTACCACTTGAGCCATGCCTCCAGCCCAGCTTTTTGCTGATTATTTTGGAGATGGAGTCTAATGAACTTTTCTGCCTAAGCTGCCCTACAGATCTCAGCCTCTTGAGTAGCTACAATTCTAAGCCACTGTGCCCATCTCTATTTTTTCTTTTATTTTTCCCCTCTTTCCTTCCTCTTTCTTTCTCTTTTTCTTTTCATTCATTCTTTCTTTCTTTTCTTTACCAAACTAAGTAATTAAAATAATCTCTTATCACAAAAAACCCTATGGCCTGATAAAAGGAAAAAGAAAAGATCTGAGAAACATCTTAGACAGGCCAGTTAAGATAATCTTTTACCCAATCACTACACTTACAAGGCTAGTTGGCTCTAGTGTCTTTCTTCTTCCCTCAAGAGTCTAAGACTACATTCCAAACCCTATACTTAGCATGACCTCAGAGTGCTAGCAGCAGGGCTGGGACACTAGGTAAGTTTAAAAACAAGACAAGAAAGAACAAACGAACAGGAAGAAGACCTCAAGTTACACATCTTTAGATGTCCAAAACATGAAAACAAGACAAGGATTTTATGAACTGAGAGGATTTTAGATCTGGACTATCATGACAGCATGCTAATATATGCATAAGGATTTGATCTATATGATTGTCAGAGTTAACCCTCGCTGTTACAAATGAAACAGCTTTGCCACTCCATAGCTCATATATTGAAGCCCTAACTCCCCATGTGATAATATGTAGAGTTGACTTTTGGGAAATAATGAGGGTTAGATAAGGTCATAAAGGTAAGGCCCCCCAAAATGGCATAGATGTTCTTATTAGAAAAGATACTAGATATACTCTTTTACCTGACTTCTTCACCTTTACAATAAAATAATTTTTAAAAAGAAACACACTAGGGAGCGACATGTCTTTTCAGATGTGGCGAGTTGTGTCTTTAATTCCAGCTACTTGGGAGGCAGAGACAAAAGAGCATAGCTCATGGCAAGCCCCAGCAAAGCAAAGTTTGTGAGATCCTATCTCAAAAATTAACTTACTCATGTAACTGTAACCCCTCTGCACAGCATCTTGACAATAAATTAAAATTTAAGGGGCTGGGAAGGTAGAGCGCTTGCCTTGCATGCTTGAGGCCCTGAGTTCGATTCCTCAGCACCACATAAGCAAAAAAAAATTTTTTTTAAATAAGCTGGAAGTGGTGGCCCATGCCCGTTCATGGGTTGTGGTCCAAAGCTAATCTGGGAAAAATTAGTGTAAGATCCTGTAGTAGAAGAAAAACAAAGGGGGGGGGTAACAATGCTCGATAGAAAAAGTACTCGTTATCTTATTCATGTAACTGTATCTTTACAATAAAAAATATTAAAAAACTTAAAAAGATCCTGTCTAAAAAACAAACTAAAAGGAAAGAGTATGAGGGCTATGGTTCAAGTGGCAGGAAGCCTGAAATTTCATGTTCAGTACTAAAAAAGGAAAGAAGGCAGAGAAGGAAGAAGGGAAGGAGAGGGGGAGGGAGGAAGGAAGGAAGGAAGGAAGGAAGGAAGAAAGGAAGGAAGGAAGGAAGGAAGAGAGAGAGAGAGGGAAGGAGGGAAGAAGGGAGGGAGGGACGGATTAGTCTCCAGAATTTTAAGAACATTTCTAAGACCACTAGCAGCCCACCCTGACTAAAGCACTCAGCCACATTTAGTAAGCCTCACAATTAAAACAACAAAAACTAAACAGTACTTCTAAAATTATCTTTCTTACCAGGGAAGTTCAGTCAATCCTCCTTGCACAGCAATAGCAGACTTAACCCTGTTAGCAAATTGGACTGCATCTTCTCCTTCCTGGTTAAAAATAATAAGAAAGTTGCATATCTTGGGTATTTATTCAATTGATCCTTAAAAATGTCTTGTATGAACTTTGGTGCGGGGGGGGGGGGGGGGGAAGGGGGGGAGGATTGGGCGGGGGGCGGATGGGATGGGAAGGGTAAACAAAGGAGGAGGCTACAATGCTTGATAAGAAATGTACTCATTATCTTGCCCTCTGTACAGTATTTTCACAATAAAAAAGTCTTGTATGCATCTATGATTGTTTTAAAATATATGATTCATATTCTGACTCAAAAAACATTTATTCACAATCAGAGCAAATATCACTTGTTCTACCAAGAGAAACACGGTACTATATTATCCTGTGCACAGTTTTAATAAATTATTTGCTAGTCTTAGCCAAAATGAAGTATTTGATAACATTTGTAGATTCAATACTCCAACAGTAAAATTATTATGGAAAAGAGTCTGAGTATAAAATGGCCTGATGTGGAGAACATTCAACATATTATTAAGAAACAAATCAACAATGAGCTGGGTATTAGTATCTCATGCCTGTAATCCTAGCTACTCAGGAGACTGACATCTGAGGATCACTGTTGGAGGCAGGCCAGGCAGAAAGGTCTGAGAGATTCTTATCTTCAATTAAACAGCAAAAATGACTAAGTAGAGATATGGCTCAAATGGCAAAGTGCCAGCCTTGAGCAAAAGCACCAAATGAGAGTGAGTGGCCCTGAGTTCAAGCCCTAGTAGAGGTATGCACATATAAAACATCTATGAAATTGAGTAAGATTTTTTTTCTTTCATGCGATTGTTTCTAACACATTTATAAGATTATTTCTTTGTTGTTTTGTATGTCCCTCCCCCATGGTATAACCCCTGCTTTCACTGTATTTGATGTCTGTATAATTTGTGGAGGGGAAGGGGAAAAATAAATCGTTTAAATAGGGATACAGGTGGACCCATTGCAACAATGAGACATACAAGTCGTTATGTCGAAAATGAACTTTACAACTTTGGTGGGCAGGGGGAGGAGGTTTGGGGGGCGCGGGGGGGGATGGGAAGGGATGGGAAAGGGAAACAAAGGAGGCTACAGTGCTTGATAAGAAATGTACTCATTATCTTGCCCATGTAATTGTAACCCCTCTGTACAGTATGTTCACAATAAAAAAAGAAAAAAAAGGAATACATTTATTTTTCTATATATACCTTCAGAACTTTGTGATAAAGTATTACTAATTTACAGTCTCTTGCTCCTTTTATTCCCTTTATGTTAATAAAGATGCTTACAAAAAAAATAAAAAAACTAAAAAAAAAGAAAATTGAGTAAGAAAACTTGTTGGAGGGGAAAGAAGGTTAACAGACAAAGTGAGATTGATTGGAATATACTGTAACTGTGTAAAAGTGAAACGATGAAATCCCTCTCTGTACAACTCAAGTAAGTGAATGTTTTAAATGGAAAGAAAGAAAAGTAAACAAATCATTTACTGAACCAGCAGAAAGACATGGCATAAAATGGAGACACCCAGATTTTAGGTAAAGGTTTCTTGATTTGATCTGCTTCAACAAAGCAAGGAAGAGCAGGTGCTAGCGGAGGGGTACCTCTTTGGTCATGGAGGGCATGTACCACACATCACAGACGATGGCCCAGCTGGTCATTATACGAAGCAAGTAGCTCACCATGTTGTATTTGCTACTGTTCCAAAAGGCATCCCCAAACTGAGGGTTATACTGGAAAAAGAAAAGAGAAAGAAATACATCCTAGGTAGCTTCTGTGACCCATGTTGAAGTTTCTTTTTATAATTTTTAAAATTATTATTATAGAAGGCCAGGAGCCAGTGGCTCATGCTTGTAATCCTAGCTACTCAGGAGGCTGAGATCTGAGGATCGCGGTTCAAAGCCAGCCCATGCAGGAAAGTCCGAGAGACACTTATCTCCAATAAACCACCAGAAAACTGGAAGTGGCGCTGTAGCTCAAGTGGTAGAACCCTAGCCTTGAGATGAAGAGCACAGGGACAGTGCCCAGAGTTCAAGGCCCATAACAGACAAAAAATATATATTATTATAGAGATGATGTACATTTCTGTTTGGACAATGTCACTCCTTCCCTTGCTCTCCCATGGTCAAGTTTTTATGGTGGTAAATTAAGTAGCTCTATCAGACCCCCAAGAGAAGTCACTTCCCTCAACAGAAATGACCACAAAAAGTGAATGAGGCAAGCTAGCTCCTCTGATTAGAGCTAACTGTTTTTCTAAGTAGAGTGCTAAAATAAGCATTATTTATATGACCATTAACTATTTATCTCCACTCTTCACTGGAAGGTCAATGGAAGTGGAGACATTATCTGTCTGCCTATTACCATGTCCTTAGTAGTTAGAATAGCCCATGGTACAGAGTGACCCAGTGAATACACACACACACACACACACACAGACACACACACACACACACACACACACACACACACACACGGGGAGAGAACAAATGGAATAAAGTGTTACAGAGATTTTGAAGCTAAGCCAAGCAGAAAAGGCAAGTACTCCTTTTTTTTGTTGCAAACTTTAGCTGCCAGCCCAATACCGCTTTTCAGGTTTCCCCAATCTCTTTACCTTCATTGCGACTGGATATATGGTTCCTCCAATTTCAAAGCTCCCCTTTTTGAACATCATGACGGAAGTATTATTGATACAGGTTCCTGAATGGGAGGAGACATTTTGGAAGCCAATTAGAAATAAGCTCCTTTTACATAAAATACTTTGAATATCAAAGTTACAGAAATTTAACCTTGGTTTCATAAGTCAACCCCTAATTAAGGAATAATCCCATAGATCTAAGGATGCTTTATTTTTTTATTATCTTTAGTTGCTGTATGAAAGGGATGCAACTCAACATAATAACAAACTTTTACTTTACTGTTAAATTCTTTAAAATTTATGGACAGGCTTAGTGCTGGTGGTGCACACTTATAAATCCTAGCTACTCAAGAGGCTAAGCTGAAGATCATGGTTCAAAGCTACCTTGGGCAGGAAAGTCTTTGAGACTTTGGAGCTGTGGCTAAAATGGTAGAGCACTTAGCAAAAAAAAAAATCAGGGACAGCATTCAGGCCCTGCATAAAAATAATAATAGACAATGCCTTCCTAAAATGATATTTAGAAGTGAAAAAGGTACTGGGCAGTGGTGATTGACAACTTTAATCCTATCTACTCAGGAAGCTGAGATCTGAGGATTGTGAAAAGAGAAAAGAAAGAAAGGAAGAAAGAAAGAAAGAAAGAAAGAAGGAAGGAAGGAAGGAAGGAAAGAAAGAAAGAAGGAAGGAAGAGAGAGAGAAAAGGAGAAAGGGAGAAAGAAAGAAAGAAAGAGATAGAAAGAGAGAGAAAGGAAGGAAGGAGGAAAGGAAGGAAAGGAAGGAAGGAAGGAAGGAAAGATCTCATGCCTTCCACCAAATCTCAATGGAGAGCAAAGAATACCTCAAGCAAACAGCTCATAGCAGAGACCCACTCCTACAGGACAGCTGATGCTCAAGGCTAAGTTCTAGACCAGTTCTAGACCAACTGCATTCCTCATACTTCTGATATTTCTCTTGCTATATATCTTGTCTTGGTCTCCAGCTCCCACTCTTACCTTCAGGAAAGATTAATATAGGTAACTTTTTTTTATCAGCAACATGTTCTTTTAATCTGTGAAGAAAAATAAGGAATTACAAGTCTACCTTTAAAAAGAAGGAGATGGGAGTTCCCTTTTGTATTATGAGTATATTTGCTATCTAACAAAAGAAATAACAAATAAAGGAAATAAACTCAAGTTGTTTTCTTATTTAAAAAGTGTATAGAGTCTGGGTGCAGGTGGCTCACTCCTATAAGTCTAGATACTCGGGAGGCTGAGATCTGAGGATTGTGGTTTGAAACCAGCCTGCGTAGAAAACTCTGTTACTAAAATAGCTGGAAGTGGAGCTGTGGCTCAAGTGGTAGAACACTAGCCTTGAGCACAAAAACTCAGGGACAATGTTCAGGTACTGAGTTCAAGCCCCAAGACCAAAACAACAATAATAACAACCACAAAAAAGTATATGCTTATAATCCAAATGATCAGCTTTTCTGCCCAAGAATATTGGGTAATCTCACTACTTACCGCTTAGTAACCAGGTGTCGATCCTTCATTTCTGAGCGCTCAAACCAGACATGTGGACAGGCTTTGACCATTGCTCTCTGAATAATTCCCATTAACCCACCATGAACCTGGCCAACCTGAAAAAAAGGAAAAATGTAAAGGCACAGTTATTCAAAGAAAGCTTTTTTCCTCCTCCAAGTACCAATAAATTCCTGTTCCTCCTCAGAGATAAGATTGGCTGCCTTCTGCTGACTAATAAAATTAAGTTTGATCAAAGGACTTAGAAGGCCAAATGGCAGCAGAAAGTACTTTTTATTTGGTAGTACCACTGAATTTTAAGCTAGGTTGCAATAGTAGCTATCCTCTCTAGCTTTAAAAAAGTTAGATATCTTATCAGTTCCATCCCTTCCCCATCAAAATTGTTTGGAATATAGCTTAAATATGTGTGGAGATGGAGCAATGAAATCCCTCCCCTCAAAGAACTAATGTAAGACAAAGAGAGGAAGGGGGAGAGAGAGAAGGAAGGAGGGAAGGACAGAGGGAGTTAAGGGAAGTTAAAGGAAGGAATGAGAGAAAAAGGAAGGAAGAGGAAAAAGAAGAAAGGAATGAAAGAAGGGAGAGAAGGAGGGGGAAGGGAGGAAAAAAGAAAAATAAGAGGTCCTTCAAAATTGTAGAAATGCACGTTAAAACTACAGTGAAATATAATTTCATACCCATTATACTGACATGGGTTTCACAGCTTGCTGATATGTTCTAATGCAAGGCTATGGGAAACAGGATCACTCACCTCTCACTTGAAGGAGGCAGAGAGGAAGATAAGTAAACCTCTCAAGATGACACATTCATTTCTTATGCATTTCAATAATTCAAAAATCTGTCCTAAAAATTTGCTTCAAACAAAATGAAAGCATAGGCACGATACTATTAGTTACAGAGACCATGGGGGCAAGGAGGCAGAGGGAAGAGGAGAGAGAAAAAGATAAAGGGGAAATCATTTTGGAATACAGTGCAACTACATCTGAAGACTGCATAAAGAATCTCAATGAAAGCTGCTGATCTATAGGGAATTGGAGGGCAGGAAAAGAGAAAAGCAATACAGAAAGCCATTCTAATTACAATATAATACATACTGAGACCCTCTTGGGGCAATTAATATATACACACACAGAAAAAAATGAATGACTGGAAACTAAATCAGGCTGGAATGGAGGGAAGGGCACTAGCAAGAGGAGAGAGGACTAATGAAGATGATGACTAAGGGTAAATATAGTCCAAGTGGTTTGTTTGTATGTATAAAAATAGAACAATGACGTCTGTTAAAATTATTTCAAGGATTGGGGGAGGAGAGGTACAAGAGATTGTTAGAAGAGCTAAAGTTAATCAGGAGAAAATATATACATTTGTAGAAATGTCACAATGGAACTTGGGCAACTAATGCAAAATAACAAAATAAATTTGGCCAGGTGTTGATACCTCATGCCTGTAATCCTAGCTACTCAGAAGATTGAGACCGAAGGATCATTGTTCAAAGCCAGCCAGGGAAGGAAAAGTCCACAAAATTATGTCCAATTGGTCAGCAAAAAAGCTGCATTGGAGATGTGGCTCAAGTGGTAGAGCACCAGCTGTGAGCAAAAATGCTGAGAGAATGTAAGACCCTGAGTTCAAATCACCTGGTACAAGTCAAAGGAAAGAAGGAAGGAAGGAAGAGAGGAAAGCATGGAGACCAAGAAGGAGGGAGAGAGATACAGATTTAAAATTTTAAAATAAATATATTAAAATACATTTGTTCACACATAGCATACAGAGAGAAAAAGACAGCTAATCACCAGAGTTTATAATTGAAGTAAAACCTGTCACCAAGAGACTATGGAAAAATCCCCAGAGACCCCCTCCTATCATTCTAGCTCATGCCAACTTAAGACACATTTAACACTGGGCAGGAAGGGATATCATCCAGTATGGTCTACCTGACACAGAGAAGATATAAGAAATCTTGATCATTATATATAAGGTCAAAAAGAGACCAAATATTTGGGGAAATGCCAGGATGTGCTTCCTATTCATGCCCAGGAAAAGGCATTTCAAGGGGATTTTTTGCTTTTTATTTTTGCTGGTCCTGGGGTTTGAACTCTGAGCTTGGTGCTGTCCCTGAGCTTCCGTTTGCTCAAGGCAAACATTTTACCACTTGAGCCACAGTGCCACTTCTGGCTTTTTTGAGTAGTTTATTTGAGGTAAGAGTCTCACAGACTTTCCTGCTGGAGCTAGCTTCAAACCATGATGCTTAGATCTCAGCCTCCTGAGGCATGACACGAGCCCCCAGCACCCAGCTAAGGTTTAGTTTTGTGTTTTGTTGCAAGGTTTTGTTCTCTTTTCTTTCTTTGAAGCTGTGGACAGTAGCTGAGAAACATACCAACATTTTCCTTTCTTGCTAGATCATCATTAAAGAGAGATTTTGTTTTTAATTGCATGTACCTCCCTGAGGGGAGAGAAATCTAATTGGTTATCTGGGGAATCTATACAACTCTAAGGAGGAAGACTTCAATGTTGCAAGGTGTAATTAAACTTGGCAGGATTTTAATGCAAAATAGAATCAACTTTATAAAGTCCAATCAAGCTTAAGTATGTATACATTCAAGGAAGTTAATTTTATTTATTTATTGGTCAGTTGTGGGGACTGAACTCTGGGACTGGGCTCCATCCTTCAGCTCTTCAGCTTTAGCGCTCTACCACTTGAGCCATGGCACCACTTCCAGCTTTTTCTGCTTATGTGGTGCTGAGGAATCGAATCCAGGGCTTCATGTGTGCAAGGCAAGCACTGTACCACTGAGCCACCTTCCCAGCCAATTTTTTTAAATTTTTTGTGAGCATACACTAGTTGTACAATGAGAGACTTTCATTCTGACATTTCCATAAAGGCATACACTGTATGAATACCTGATTAAATTCAACTCTATCACTCCCATATCTCCCTGCCCATCTTCCCACTTCTTAAAACAATCTCAACAGGTTTCATTATTCTATTTTCTTCTTTTTTTTCTTTTGTGTGAGTGTGCCAGTACTGGGCCTCACATTCTCCTTTTTCACTCAAAGCTGATGTTGTACCACTTGAGTCATAGCTCTACTTTTGGCATTTTTGCTGGTTAATTGGATAAGAATGTCACAGGCTTTCTTGTCCAGGCTGGCTTTGAACAAGTGATCCTCAGATCTCAGCCTTCTGAGTAGCTAGGATTATAGAAGTGAACCATCAATGTCTAGCTTTCATTGTTCTGTTTTCAAACATTCAGATAAAGTATTTCAACTATATTCATCCTCATTCACCTTCTCTATTAGTCCTATTCCTCCTTCTGGTACCCTTTAGATCTAGTAAGTTCATTTTTTTACTACCTTAAATACTATGGGCTTTTTTTCTTGCATTATTTTTCTCATATAGTCCATATAGGTACAATAGTATAACACAGACAAATGTCTAATATGGAATTTCTAATTTGCCAAAATAACTTGGAATTTTGAGCAATCCATAAAACACACAATTATTTGTGCTACTGATGGGCTGATCTTACCATAGCATAACATCCATCCGTTGCTAAGATCAAAACGTCTATGGGAGAAGTGTGGTTGGCCACGCAGATGCCTCCCTTCCGGGGTCTGTACTGCCTGCAGGAAGAACAGTGATGCATACTGACCACCAGAAAATGTCCACTATTTGTAGATCAATATGGAAAGATTCACTATTTTTTTCTTTTAAGTATATTTAAACAGAAACACTTGGGGATACATGGTACAGGGGTGAATCTATAACAAGGATGGAGTAAGGATCCTATAACTTCTCCTTCATAATTCATAAGGTTGCTTAATTAATCTCAACTATTCTGATACTAGTTCAGATCAAACAACCCCCAGTTGTCACTCTACTGTGGCACAAGACAGCCACAGATAGTATATAGTGAATAAGCATGGCTGTGTTCCAATAAAACTTTATTGATTTTAAAAAGCACACACAAAGAGCCAGATTTGGCCTTTGGGCCCATAATTTAGTTTGTGTATCTCAGCCTGAGAAATAAATCAGGACTAGACACCAATAAAGATTTCTCTTAGGCTCATTAAGAGAATAGACTTCATCATATTTTCCTCAAAACTAGAATTACTTCTATGAGTTATACACTCCCTACCATAGCTAAGATATGGAACCAACCCAGATGCCCCTCAGTAGATGAATTGATCAAGATGAGGAGTTCTATGGAGTTCAGATGAGGAGTTCAGATGGAGTTCTATGCTTCCATCTGAAAGAATGACATTGCCCCATTCGTAAGGAAGTGGAAAAACCTGTAAAAAAAATTAAGCAAAGCAAGCCAGGCCCAAAACATAGGTTGCATGATTTCCCTCATTTGTAATAACTAGAATATGTCTATGATATTCTTAGCAGAGGATCACAATAGCTCAATAGCTAGGTGCATATGATCATATATAATGAAGCAGATCAAAACAAACTCCAAGAACTGGAACAAGAGGTTCTTATTATGTACTGTTTGCACTTATTTTTTAGTTTTCTATACCCTTTGTCTTGTATATAAGTTTATCTGATCCATGGAAAGGAAAGGGAATCACAGAAACAGCAGGACACGGGATGAACTAATACAATTTACTAGACACTTGGCACTATCCAACTTGGGAATAAGGGAGTGGGGAGGGGAAAGTGGGAGAAATGAGGGAGGGGTTAACAGTGTTCAAAAGAAAAGTACTCATTACCTTACTTATGTAATTGTAACACCCCTGTTCATCACCTTTACAATAATAAAAAACTCTCTGCCTTATTAGTACACTTTTTCTGCAGAAGATGACTCCTCTGATCACACTTCTACCAGAACTCTTCTATTCCTTACCTCAAAACTCATAGTCTAATTACAAAATCATTTAACTTAACATTTTAATTTTATTCTATTTTTTCCATGTGTGTGTGTGTGTGTGTGTGTGTGTGTGTGTGTGTGTGTGTGTGTGTGTGTGCGCGCGCTGGTACTAGAACTTGAACTCAGGTCCTCAAGTCTTTGCTCAGTTATTTCATTCCCACCTGGCATTCTATCACTTGAGCCATACCTCCAAATCTAATTAAAATTTTTTAAAGGCCCTTTTTTTTTTATTAGTAACACATGGTTAAGCCAACTGACAAAATATTTTCCTTCTACAAATGAGAAAGACCTATCAGTAAAAAGGGATTTTCGTTCTAGAACTTTAAGAGCAGTTATATTTTTAAATTAAAATAAAGTTGCACTGACGAAAAAGTAATTCAAAAGCAATCAAAGTCATTTTCACTTAGCAATTTTCCTTAGCTACCTTTATTCTCTCGGTCTAGGGATGAAAAAAAGCAGAATTCAGTATTTTAAGGATTAGGTTTGAAATTTTAGAAAGGAGAAAATGGACAGAAACATAGGTCTCCAGACTTCACCCCTTCAGAGGTCTGTCAGTTTATTACTATTATAACATCATTATCATCATCATCATCATCACAATAGAATTACTGTTTTGAGATGTCACGGTTTAAATCTCAGGGCCCTGTGCTCTATCAGCTTGCTTGCTCACCTGGTGCTCCACCACTTGAATCACACCTCCAGTCTGGCATTTTGCTGGTCAATTTCAGATGGAGTCTTTCAAGACTTTTCTGCCCAGAACTTTTACATCTCAGCCTATTAAGTAGCTAGGATCAAGGTATGAGTCAACAGGGCAGACAAACCCAATTCAAAATCTGTCTTTGAAACTTACTCCTTGTTATTGATCCTGAACAAGCAAGCCTAGGCTTCCATCTCTCCATTTGTGACATGGAGTAATGGTGCCTCTCTGACAGGAATGACCTACAAGAGAGAAAGGGCGTGGCCTGCACATAGTTAATGCCCAATGATAAAGCACTATTGCACATTTATTCTTATTCTAGCTGTAAACAGACATTTTTGTTATATCTGTGGTAGCTGAACAAACATGGGTAAATTCACTAAAAGTACACTCCACCTACTACCTCCCACCCACCACCCACATTCCTGTAACCCCAGCACAGGACACTCACTTGTTATGGTAATGAATGGTGCCAGAGAGGGATCGAACACAGATGCGGCAGCAAGTCAGATGCACCAGCTCACTCAGCCAGCTTTTGATGCTGAAGAGAAAAATATTGTTTGATTGTGCAATTCCGAGCATTCTCAAGAAACAACACAAAGAAGCTTTACTGTGCTCGTTCACACACATAGCATCCTGTGTTTGTTCTGCTCAGCTAGCACAGTTTTATTTCTTACAGCCTTATCAATGCATTTGGGATTAAATGGCAACAAATAAAAGAGTGAACAATACTCTATCGCAAAGCCTAGTAGACTGTGGCAATGCCTGGCAAAGATGAGCTGGGGCTTCTTTGTTTGCTCTAAGCCTTTTAAGCCCGCCAATAATCTGCAGGTTCCTTGGACAGTTTTCTTTCCTGCCCTTCATTTCTCCTTTGAAAAAACAACTTGTTTCCATGTATATGGAAGCATGGAAAACCAGATGAAGGTTATGAAGATGAATTCTAGTAAGTGATTCAGACCATAAATTTAATACAAGATAAAAGTATCAGTATAGCTAGGAAAAGGGACAATCCTACTTATTTATGGCTAAATAGAAGGAAACATTTCACCTGCCATCTGGCAGCTGCCCAACCAGTGTTGTTCCTATAACCAGCAAACTGATTCCAATGAAAGCCAGGGTAACCCTGAAATAGAAACGCAAAGTCTCATTTTATGATGAAACAGTATGTAAGGTGTCCAACAGCCACAGTATGGGACATATTGTAGTTATTAAAATGTTCTGACATGATTGTATGAACTTTCCATGATGCGTTTTGCATGAAAAAGGCAATATTTCAAAATGCTTTCTATAAAGTATACTATTTTCAAGAGGCTGAGATCTAAGGATCACGATTCAAAACCAACCCCGGGCAGGAAAGTCTGTGCGACTCTCATCTCCAATTAACCACCAGAAAACAAGAAGTGGTGCTGTGGCTCAAGTGGTAGAATGCTTGAGCTGAAGAGCTGAAGGACAGCGCTCAGGCCCAGAGTTCAAGCCCCACAACCAAAAAAAAAAGCTTTTCCAATAGGCTTCAAAAGTCATGTTTTAGCATATTTTTGACACAGCAATTTGAAGGTTAATGTCACTAGGGCCTTTTTTACATGTAAGCCAATTGTTCAAACTTATCCATCAATTATACAAAAATTTTCCAATAATGCCCTCTTGAGGGTCAATTGTTTTTACAATTAAATTAGAAGATACCACATTATGTGTTTAATAATTGGAGTGAAACTGTTGAAACTTTTTATTTGCTACATTAACAGGCCAGCAAATTCTGTTTCCCAGTTAACGTAAGCCAACACGAAAGATCTCAGAGATAACTTCTCACAAGTTGCCCTCAGATGATGATTTCCATATTCAGAGATGTGATTTTCTTTTTCCTCCAGTACGGGGGTTTGAACTCAGGACCTCACACTTGTTTGTTTGGCTAGACCTCTATATTGAGACACACCTTCAACCCAGCCTTCTGCTAGTTATTATGGAGAAGGAATCTCATAGACTTTTCTGCCCTTGCTGGCTTTGAACCTTAATCCTCCCAATCTCAGTCTCATAAGCAGCCAGGATTACAGGAATTAGTCATAAGAGCCACAATCTCTTACTTTGCAGTAATTCTGACTCTTTCCCTCCTACCTTTTCTCCCTTGGTCACTGCTGGGGAAGGCTCTGTGTAAGGAGCGTTCACCTACCCTGCTTGTTTCTTTTTTTAAAAATCCCTTACAAAGCATTTCTTCACACTGTAGATGGGACTAAGAATAAGAGTTATAATTCTGTCTTTTTCTTTTTGTCCTTGGATGATTATGTTCTAGGATTATGTTTAATGGGTTGTACAGAAATCATTGTCACTTATCTAGTTTGTAATGTTAGTTCAGTTAAATCTAAAGAGCAGAGTCAGACTATTTGCTGCCCTCCGTAGTAAAGTAAAAAAAAAAAGAAAGAAAGAAAAACCTGTGTATCAAGCAATAAAAGCATCTGAAGTATTTTGCTCACTCCTACCTCAGGTTATCTGGGTTATGCTGCTTGACCATGGACCACAATAGCACACAAGAACCAAGCAATAGATGAAGCTTTGCTATAGTTTCGTTTCTTTTCAAGAACAACCTGGAAGCTGTATAGTAAGAACAGAAGTGTCTAGTAAAGGAAAGCTCATTTCCTTCCTGTATGCCAGTGGATAATGCTGAATACAAGAAACCCACTTGAAGAGCACTGGCTTAAAGTCCAAGCATAAAGATATGTGAAATCTTGAATTTTGCTGTTAGCACAGCTGAAATGATTGCTCAAAGACTTCTTATGTCCCAACATTGGGAACCATGTTAATATGAGCAAAGAAAACCATTTTTAAAAATAAAAGGATCTGGAGATGTGCACCGGCTTACACTTATGCAATGCCATCTCTGTAACAAATCTGAATGAGGCAAGTACAAAGCGCCCTAGGGATGGTAAAGAGGTTTCAATTCATGTTCAATGCAATGGCAGTTGGCCGGTAGCAGCTACTTGGAAAGCTCTGTTGAGAGGATGCCAAGACCATGTCTAGGGAAATGAAGCAAGCCAATCCCCAGCCCAATGCTGTGGCTGGTGCTCTTGCCTACTCCTTGCAATAGCATGCTGTACAGATACTTCATCCCACTCCCCAGTGCCTTCCATGCCTATGGGCCATAGAAAATGTGCTTTCAGAAAATGGGTTGAAGTCCACCCTGATCAAGCAGCACTGAGGTCTAGAAGAAGAAGGACACCTAAATAGGGAATTTTGTAAACAAAATAAGTAAGTGACCATTGTAGAGCAAACACATTTTTAAATGGCTCTTGCAAGACCATTTTCTGGAATTTCTTTTTTTCTTCTGTCCAAGGCAGCTATAAAGTGATACAGATTCACAAAGAGAAACAGGGGGTCTCATCATCATTGATAACAGAGCTGACACTCTGATGGCTGTGAAACTATAGATCATCTTTCTTCTTCTTTCTAACTTTCCTTTTCTATCCATCCTCAAATGATAGATGACTAATACTAAAGTGGATCAAGATTGTTAAATATATATTTAATTCTGATTTTGTGTGTGTGTGTATTTTTTAAGAGAAAAGTGTGAAAGGAAAATAACACATTCCTTCTTAAGAGGTCTAATTGGGACCAGAGCTCTCATTACATACATGATGCAAAAAGAAAGCTGCACTGATGATACTGTAAGTCATCAGGCAGGTGACTCACCGCAGGGGTAGAAGAACACAATAGCGTACTAGGACACCCAGCACCCACACCATAGTGAGCCTTGGACTGATGTACTGGAAGTTGACGTTAGTTCTTGTGAGGAGATTCCATGACACTAGCTCCTCTGAGGAGAATCTCTGGGTCACTTCATCTTCTACTATGGCTTCAAATCCCTTCTTGGAAAAATAAAACACATCAGATAACTCAAAGTCCCTTCCTCGCAGACCAGAGAGTCCTTTCTCCATGGGTGACTCATCTCTTTGGATAATACCTTTAAAAAAGAAAAAGCATCCAAACATTAGGAAATGCCATAGAACAGAAAAACAACAAATAAAAGGAGCAACTTCATAGGATATAAAAAAATTGATGAGACTGAAAATATCAGAAATAAAAAGACCAGCAATTACAATAGGAACATGGTTGAAATTAATGTCTAAATAAGACCTCTATCTAATGATTACAATTAATTATGCAGGACTTTGGTTCTGCAAAACCCTCCTCTTGGATTTCCACCCTACATACTACTAGCTAAAGAATTCACAGATACAAACTGTCCTTAGATATAGATTTGACTCATGCAAAAAAAATGAAGACTTTTATTTTCCTGATAAAAAGCATAAAGTCAGGGCTGGGAAGATGGCTCAGTGGTAGAGCACTTGCCTTGCATACATGAGGCCCTGGGTTCGATTCCTCAGCACCACATAAGCAAAAAGAAGAAAGCCAGAAGAGGCACTGTGGCTCAAGTGGTAGAGTGCTAGCATTGAGCTGAAGAGCTGAGGGACAGCGCCCAGGACCAGAGTTCAGGCCCCACGACCAGACCCAAAAAAAAAAAAAAAAGCATAAAGTCAAAATACAAGCAAAGTAGAAACAGATATTTACAAGAAATGGCCATGTGGGTTTTGGGTGTTGTTATTTGTGCCAGTCCTAGGACTTGAACTCAGGGCCTAGGAGCTGTCCCAGAGTTTCTTTTGATCAAGGCTAGCACTCTATTTATTACTTGAGCCACAGCACCACTTCTAGTTTTTTGGTAGTTTATTAGAGATAAGAGTCTCACATTTGGTAATTTCTTGGAGATAAAGAGTCTCACACACTTTCCTGCTCAGGCTAGCTTCCAACTACCATCCTCAGATCCTTCTGAGTAGCTAGGATTATAGCTATGAGCCACCAGCACCAGACTCTGATGGTTTTAAGATATAAAAACTTTGTAAGGGGCTGGGAAGGTGGTTCAGTGGTAGAGTGCTTGTCTTGCATGCTTGAGGCCCTGGGTTCAATTCCTCAGCACCACATAAGCAGAAAAAAAAAAGCCAGAAGTGGTGCTGTGGCTCAAGTGGTAGAGTACTAGCCTTGAGCTGAAGAGCTGAGGGACGGCGCCCAGGCCCAGAGTTCAGGCCCCACGACCAGACCCCCCCACCTAAAAAAAATTTTGTAAGAAGCCGGGCACCGGTGGCTCACGCCTGTAATCCTAACTACTCAGAAGGCTGAGATCTGAGGATCGCAGTTCAAAGCCAGCCCGGCCAGGAAAGTCCCTGAGACTCTGATCTTCAATAAACCACTAGAAAACCGGAAGTGGTGGTGTGGCTCAAGTGGTAGAGAGCACTCCTTGAGCTGAAGAGCACAGGGACAGGGCCCAAGCCCAAAGTTCAAGCCCCGAGACTGACCAAAAAAAAAAAAAAAAAACTTTGTAAGAAGCAAGCAAAAAGTCAACAGAATATGTGACTAATTCATAGAGGCAATATAGTTCATGAATATATCAAAACTCTTTCACTAGTAAACCAAAGAAATGTGAAGTATACAACAATTGGCCTACTACATTACAAAACAACACTTCTCTTTCACAATAAAGCTCTGTGACTATACAAACGTGCAACAACTAGCAACTGGCTTTTAAATCAGTTTGACATGAAAAGTTCTGCTGGTGATAAGTAATTTTAGTTCTAGGAAACTGACATAGAAATGTAGGAAAGAATATTTCATGATAATCAATCCAGATAATGACATATAAGACATCCATTACTAAATACCCCAATATTGAGTGAAAAAAGACAAGTTCTTAACATTATACTCTAATTCTATAAAATAAGAATGCATAAGAAAAACACCAAGAAAGAAAACACCAAAAATTTAAAAATAGTATAACTTTTAACTGAAAAACTATATGACTACTGTTTCCAGTTCTAACTACTCAATATGGATAATAAACAAGAAGATTTCTAGGTAATAAAAAGGAGGTATTTAGACAATGCATAACATGACTATCCAGTTAGTCCTCTGGGATGTGTCACAAAGGAATTTACTTCCTACATTAGTCTACAAAGAAAATATTCTTCGCTTTTGAAGTAGAGGAGATGCCAGATCCCTGAAAAAAATAAAAGACCCCCTTTGATTTTTCTCACTTCACAGATTACCAGAAAAATCATAAAGTGACAGCACTTTATTCTCAAGGCCCTGGAAAACTGAAAAATATATAAACAGAAAAACTTGGAATGTTTCTCTCTCTCTCTCTCTCTTTCTCCTTCTTTCTCTGTCCTCATTTTTTTTTGGGGGGGGGGTCCAGTCGTAGGGCCTGAACTCTGGGCCTGGGCACTGTCCCTCAGCTCTTCAGCTCAAGGCTAGCACTCTACCACTTGAGCCACAGCGCCACTTCCAGCTTTTTCTTTTTGCTTATGTGGTGCTGAGGAATTGAATCCAGGGCCTCATGCATGCAAGGCAAGTGCTCTACCACTGAGCCACCTTCCCAGCCCCTCTGTCCTCATTTTTTTTAAGGAATGCTAACAAGATGAACTGGAGGAGAAAGGAAAGATAACTTGGAATTGAAAGTCAAGTTTTCCAAGTTCTTTTTAGGACAATCAGTAGCTCCATGACAGGTGTCTTTTACATAATGAAGCAATAGGAATTTTTTAGTTAGTTTACAGAATTAACAGTTTGTGATTTCAGGCTTGAGTTTCAGGGCGTGGGGGGCGGGCAGAGCCACAAAAAACAACACACACAGAGGCAAAATTATTATCTATAACCTTAAGAAATAGAGCAATGAAGAGGCAAAACTGTTATCAATCACCTTAAGAATTGGAGCAAAAAGTCCTTAAATACTATTAAGTCAAATTCCTCAAGTGTGAGTTCAGAATGGACTTAACCTTTTTTTACCTTTAATCAACAAAGGATGAGGCAGAGTGCCAACTCTATAGTCACTGCAATGCCATTCAGAGAAGATTTTTCAATCCAGCTTACTGGCCAGGAATTAGCCATGCAAGACTTTTACTATTTAGCAATTTACTTAGAGGTGAAGGAAAGTGCAAGCAATTCAGCAAATCTCTGAATGAAATACACTAGGGATAGAGGATAGACCTTCTAAAAATACATCCCCCCGCCCAGGTCAAAGACAAGAATGCAACTTTAACTTGCCTCATATATAACTGAGCCAAGAGAAAGGAGACATGTAGACAGAAACTAACACCACAGCCCTATATACTCGATGTGCAAAATTTTCTCTGCCCCCTCACCTAGTTTATTCTGTACAACCCAAAATATGAATGAAATTTTTATTGTACTCAAGCATCTTTTAAAAGTATGTGGATAACTACAGTGCATCTAATTGACAAAGAATGCGTTTCCAGGCTATCTTGACCTATACAAAAACTTTGTAGACCCTTTCCCTAACAGGAGGTAGGGTTCCTTTTCACAGGGAAAAATATGATACAGGGTCAGTAGAGAAGACAGGGAATTTTTTGGGTTTTACAGTTTGTAGATGGCAGGATAAGATGATAAGCCAAAACCTGTCTGACAAGCTTAAATGGGGACAAAGGGGCTACTAAAGGATGAGTAAGTTAAAAAGGGCAAAAAGAATGAGAACATAAGGTTGGGACGGTAAGAATCTTTGGCATCACAACCTTAGAAGAAATAAAAAGGAAACTCACCAATCAGAAGTCCCTCTGATTCTATTTAACCAAAGGCCAAGATCTGCACAAAAGACAGATGAAGACAGCCCAATGTAGCAGAGGAAGACTAAGTTGCCATCTTCTTGCGGCATGTCTATGCCATATGCTTTCTTTCTCTGCCATCCTTTTATAACGAACTTTTCTATTATCTTTACTTAAAAATTAGGGGGGGAAAGAACAAAGGACTCAAAAAATAACCATACAGCAAACAATTTTTTGGGGTGGTTGTAGGAATTGAACTCAAGGGTTGGGCTCTGTCCCTGAGCCTCAAAGCTAGTGTTCTATCAGTTGAGCCACAGCACCACTTCCGGTATTTTCAGTGTTTAGTTGGAGATAAGAGTCTAACCAGACTTTTCTGCGTGGGCTGACTTTAAACCACAATCCTCAGATCTCAGTCTTCTGAGTAGCTAGGATTACAGGTATGTGCCACTAATGCTTGGCGGCAAATGATTCTTTTTTTCTTTTTCTTTGCTTTTCTTTTCTTTTTTTTTGTAGGTCGTGGGGCTTGAACTCTGGGCTTGGACTCTGTCCTTCAGTTCTTCAGCCCCAGGCTAGTGTTCTACCATTTGAGCCACAGCGCCACTTCCAGTTTTCTAGTGCTTTATTGGAGATAAGAGTCTTAAGGACTTTTCTGCCTGGGCTGGCTTTGAACCATGATCTTCAGATCTCAGCCTCCTGAGTAGCTAGGATTACATGCATGAGCCACCAGCACCCAGCTGCAAACAATTCATAAGAGTAAGCTTTAGGGGCTGGGAAGGTGGCTCAGTGGTAGACCGCTTGCCTTGCATGCATGAGGCCCTGGGTTCGATTCCTAGGGACAGTGCCTAGGCCCAGAGTTCAGGCCCCATGATCGGACACCCTCCCCCCCAAAAAAAGACTAAGCTTTAATGACTAGACATTTGGCAAGTTCAGCCTTAATACAATGAGGAAAATTCAAGCTAAAGCACAATGAAATACTATTTTATACCCATAAGTTTGATAAAAACATGAAATCTGATAACATCAAGTATTGGTGAAGGGCTGGGAATGTGGCTCAGTGGTAGAGTGCTTGCCTAGCATGCATGAGGCCCTGGGTTCACTTCCCCAGTACCACATAAACAGAAAAGGCCAGAAGTGGTGCACTGTGGCTCAAGCAGTAGAGTGCTAGCCTTGAGCTTTAAAAGAAGCCCAGTGCCTGGGCCCTGAGTTTAAGTATTGAAGACAAAAAGCAATGGGAGGGCTGGGAAGGTGGCTCAGTGGTAGAGTGCTTGCCTTGAGCTGAAGAGGGACAGCACCCAGGCCCAGAGTACAAATCCACAACCAACAAAGAAAAATAAAATAAAATAAAAAATAAAAAGAA